TGTGTATAAGGCAGCCGAGAGCGTGTGTGTTGTGTATAAGGCAGCAGAGAGCATGTGTGTGTTGTGTATACGGCAGCAGAGAGCGTGTGTGTGTTGTGTATACGGCAGCAGAGAGCGTGTGTGTGTTGTGTATACGGCAGCAGAGAGCATGTGTGTGTTGTGTATATGGCAGCAGAGAGCGTGTGTGTTGTGTATATGGCAGCAGAGAGCGTGTGTGAGCATTTATGTTCCCTTGGATCAGAGGTGGCCAATCTTATCCGCAATCTTATATGCAGGTTTTCGCTGAAACTCCCTAATTAGGTCATTAATTAGAGGACTGATTGGCTGAAGAATCCTCACACCTGGGTTTGAAGATTGGCCACCCCTGCCTTGGATGGACTGCAATCCCAGCCCACGTCATATTTTTCAATACTTGTTCAGTTTCTGTATGTTTTTACTATCCACAAAGATGCATTAATACAGCAACATGGGAAAGCTTATAGAGTATCTTTGATAATAAGCCCTTCAGATGGTTCGCCCTAGAAGCCTGATGTTTGCTCTGTTTGAGGAGTCATTTCTGTCCAACCTGATAACCAAACAGCGGCACTTTACCAATGGAAGGAGACATAAGCTGTCAGCTATAGATACTCGGGGACAGGATGCTAGTGACAGTATGTCAGTGACAGTACTGCGATAGTACAGCTCAGTGCCAGAGACGTGTCATGTTGTCTGAATAGTTATCAGAACCATGTTTATGTAGTAAACTGGGTAGCAAACACTGGGGCTTATTGGGGAAGTTGGTTTCTTTTAATAAAGAGTAAGAATTGGACAGGAAAACAAAAAAAATGTCTTTTTGTTATGGGAAAGATGGCTAATGAAGTGAGTGAAGACAGAAACTCATGGTCAACTGACTGGCATCTCCGCTCGCCATTCATACGATGTGCCGTCACACCACTCAGAGGCTACAGATCAAAGCTACCGTATCGTTGGAATGTGATTAAAAAAACGTGTACACACACAGAAACTGGACTTTACCTGGAGGACCATAACAGATCATATTACAATAGAAGCATGGAATGTAGGGGCTGGACTGTAGGATTTCCGGACCACAATGGGATTGGAAATTATCGGCCTGATTGGCATTATTAGAGAAGATATGAAGGAGAAAATTGGTCAGTAAGAACTGATCTGTGCTGTAGGTTGATAAAGTGGGCAGGTGCTGGTCATCTAAAACAGGGGAGTGCAGCCGGAATCCAGCAGGTTTTCTATCCTACCTGATGAGTTTCTGTGTCATAAGGTGTGGTTCGATGGAAAACCTGGTGGATACCAGCGCTGCGGGATCAGGGTTGTCTTCCCCTGATCTAAGGTTCTGTATTGGTTTAATTTAGCATTGTTTAGAAAGCTGTTTATACCAGTTTTTAACTATATTATGTATAATCTATATAAATAAAGTGTGTATGGCTAAAGCTCTAAAAAGTCATGTAATCTATGCCACCCCTTCCACCTGCTCCAATCCTGTCCTTCAGTGTTCTTCAGAGTTTCAGTGCCGGAGGAACATCATATTATATTGAACTGCAGCATCCAACCCTGGAGCACCACCTCTCACCTGGTGTGGACACATGGGGGTGACCGTGTCATTGCAAAGAGAGACGGGAAAGTCACCTCTGATATTGACAGAAATAAACACTCCCTCCTGATGAATGGATCACTCCTAGTGAGCAGACTGCAGTCCTCCGACTCTGGGGTGTACCACTGCAACAAGCGTGCCGTGGCAAACGTTGAGGTGTTGACAGGTATGAGAGCAGGAATATGGTCCTAAGTGAAACCCCATAAACCAGAAGGTTTTATGGGGTGATTTTATCTCAGCGGAAGAATATGTTCACATTGACAGGCCCAACCATGCAGAGGAAAGATTTCCAGATTTCCCTACAAAATATGGGCTGTGTACCACAATAATCCAATATGACTTAAATATCAATGACTACTTACAGAAGGTTTAGTGGTAGTTACTCATGGTTCTAGAGATTATGAAACTTGTGAGCAAAAGGTTGCGGGTTTAAATCCCAAAAAGAGATACAAAACAATCCAGAATGAGCTCAACTTTTAATGAGCTCACCTTTTAAAAGGCATTTTATTCTTTCTAATGGTGCAGTATTATAATAATTATAAAATGCACCTTCTGCAGGTCTAGTCTACAATGTGTCTACTGGGAGAACAGTGCTTCTTCCCTGTAAAACCTCAGACAAACAAAAACAAAAGTGGACAATCAAGAAGGACAAGAATTCCAAGCGAAAGTCTGTCTCGCTGAAATTCAAGAACGGAACAGTGTTGAAAGAGATAGACGACCCGCAGAATCGATTCCTCCAGACCGATTTTGAGCTGAAGATATTTAACCTTCAGCATGCGGATGCTGGGGAGTACTTCTGTAATAATGTCAAGGTGGCCAGCTTAATGGTGACAACAGGTAATGTCTTTTTTGTATGCAATGCCAAGCCTGCAGTCTCTTTCTGCAATTTTGCATAATTTAAATGTTCAGAAAGTAGTCGAGCATGTTCATAATTTATAGTATTCTTCCTTTCGTGACGTCCTACTACGTCCGCTTTCACGCATCTCTTGATCAGTGTTTATTATTTACTATGGGCCTTGGAAGTAAATGAGATCGGACGCGACTCAGTCAGGCATAACTGTATCTATATACTCTGTACAGTATATGTGTATTTGGTTTTGGCCTTATGACTTAATCTCCTATCCTCTTGCTGTATGATGCTATGAACTGGCATCTTGTGCAGGGCATTCCCCTCCCTTGTCCAGTACGTTGTCTGGGATTAGCTCCTGGGCCCCTCTGAACCCTGTACTGCATACAGTACTGGATATTGTACTTAATACTGTACTGGAATTATTAAACAAATCAACACATTGTCATATAATTAGACCCCACTTGTCTTTTCCAGAGACTGAGGACAAGGATTCAGAACCAAAAGACGGTGAAATATCAAAATCCATGTCTGGTAATATTTTTTAATGCTTAAAAAATTAGAAAATTAGTAGATTACTTAAATTATATTAAACAATAACGAGTAAAAATACTGCGTTTTTGGTGATACTTTATAGAGCATATGAATTACATTTACTGTAATGAAATGTCAGTGATTAAGTTATATATTTACATTCAGGCAAAAAAAGAGTTGAAGTCTGGATTCATGTCTTGTGTATTAGACAGACAGTAAAAATGGTTTAGTCATCAAAGTACAACAGGACTGAGGACTGTGATTAAAAATCAGCCCAGGACTTTGGGATCCCTCACTGCAAATTTTGCCAGTAGGGGGTGGGGGAGGATGGGGGGTTTATGACACATTTTGCTAACCAGAGGGGGGGGGGGTCCCCCACACACCCATTGGTCCACTGGGAATTGTCGATAATTTAAATAGAAGTGCAGCCCTGATCTTGCTTTGCCTGCTATTCTCTATGGTCCCATAGAAGGTTTAGGTCTCATGCATGTCTTCACATGACTGCTATAGTCTGAAAGTGGAGATAGGATAAGGTGTATGGCTCATCAGGTTAGGATGTGACTGGAGCATCGCTGGTTTGAATCCCGTATGATGCTGCCTTTGGGCTGCTGAGCAAGGCCCTTAACCCCCAGCTCCAGGGGCAAGGCATGCTAGCCAAGCCTGCACTGTCACCCCTAACATTCTCTCATCTATTCTCATGGAGAATAGCCACAAAGAGGATTTCCCCAGCATCTCTACTCTCTGGGTGTTTTTTATTTAGTCATTTCCAAATGTAAAAACATTGCTCTTGATTTCTTTGCTGTTCAAGTCAGTTTTTTGCATTTTAATTTATCCAAGTTATTTACACAATGTACTTATTATTTTCTCACAGCATTTACAATGGTGCTGATTGTGCTGGGGATGCTCATTCTACTAGCTGTTTCTGTTGGACTAATCGTATGGATCAGAGTGAAAAACAACAAGAAAGGTAAATTTACATTAAATGGGTCTGGTGTACTTCCCCCTCAGCTAGGTTCTTAATGTGAATTACTGCAGTAAAAAAGTGAGTTATATGAACTCAAATAACCGCAAGATTATCTTGGATAAAACATCCATCCATCACATCCATTTTCCAAACCGCTTACCCTTCTGGGTCGTGGGGGGTCCGGAGCCTATCCTGGAAGCTACGGGCACGAGGCGGGGAACAACCCAGGACAGGGAGGTCAGCCCATCGCAGAGCACACTCACACACCATTCACTCACACGTGCACACCTACGGGCAATTTAGTAACTCGAAGGGCACTTATCCGCCGCACAAAGTATGGTACCTTTGGTACTTTCGCTTTTCCATTGACTTCCGGTCGAGTACCAGTACCGAAAGTGCTAAACCAGCTGGGGTACTTCTTTGGTACTTCGGTACTTTGGGGTGGGACTTGCAAACGTATTTGCTTTTGATTGGTTATGCAAATAGCCCGCCGCTGAAACACAAAATACAACCGCCATCTTTTGAAACACACAGCGAACAGCGAGAAAGGAAATAAAAAGCAGTAGAAACAAAAATATAAAAAAGTAAAATGGAAGGATGGACAAACGAGGAAACACAGGATTTAATCGCCATATGGTCAGATGAACAGATCCAGCGGGATTTGGATGGCACGACTCGAAATAAAAAAGTATTTTTTAGTATTTAAACACCGAACAATGCCGCTTGAAAATCAAAAAACATAAGCAGGACTGCAGGAATGTGAAGGATCATAATAACATGTTTGAATTCAGCGGAAGAAATACCGCGTCGGACTTTGTGATTATGTCAGTCAGGGGCGGTCACTGATGATGTAATTTGCCGCCGGTACCAGTTTTTACGCCAGTGGAAAACCGACACAAAAGAAGTACCATACTTTTGGTACTTTATGTAAGTACCGAAAGTACGGTACCTGTTGTGGTGGAAAAGCACCCTAATTAGCCTCAGCATGTCTTTGAATTGTGGGGGGAAACCAGAGTACCCAGAGGAAACCCCATGACGACACGAGGAGAACATGCAAACTCCACACACAGGCAGAGACTCAAACCCGGGTGCCAGAGGTGTGAGACAACAGTGCTAACCACTGCACCACCATGTCACCCCCAGGATAAAACAATTATGTAAGAAACAGAAAATGTAGTACCATATCTTCACCACTAGCATGCTTTAGTAGTATATTTCCTACTTTCCAACAACCTGCTGTTTCACCCTATGGCCCCAAATTAGGGTTACGGTTAGCAAACTGAGGCTAGAGTTAGGGATACAAAAACTATGGCATTTTCAGGCATCAACATTGCAGTAGAAGATACAAAATCTAATACCGTAATGTTGGTCCTACTATTAGAGTGTATATGGTAGCACTATTTTTTCGTTCTTGCAGTGTATATTGGTAGGTTGGCTGAACATGGACGAACTTAGTAAAACAGTACTCTTATTACTGCACAAATACTACAGTGGCGACAAGGTAACAAAGTGAATGAATCCATGTTAATAAGAGATAAACAAGATTTCTCATTTTGCAGTAATTCATCTGTTACTGAGTTTTGCAGAAACCGAAAGTGCTAGCGCCTGAAACAGCTAAGTTTAGCAGGAGGGAAAGATTTAAGGAGCTGGAGCGCCCTCTTGTGGTCAATAATGGTAAAACAGATGGAAAACGTCTTGCAAGTAACGAGCAAGTGAAGGACATTGAAAGAAAAAACAGAGATTAACAGAGACCCAATTGAAAAGTTCTATTGAAAGAATGTCTTGGGTGCCACAGAATATGGCCTATTGAAACATTTTATCTCACCACAGAAAGTCTCTAACATCCTACGAAAATATCACTTGTGCCCTGTCTCTGTATTTTAAGCCAAAGCCTATTCTGATTGCGGAGTGTTTCAGATTTTGCAAAAGACAGCAAAAGAACAATGGAGCTGTGAGTGAATACATCCTTCCACTGAAGAAATTGGCAAGCACTTGTGAGTTGTAGGATAGGAAACCAGAGTTTAGCATGCTTTAGTAGCATATTTCCTACTTTCCAACAACTTGTTGTTTCATCCTAAGCCCCCAAATTAGGGTTAGCAAACTGGGGCTAGGGTTAGGGTTACAAAAAGTATGGCATTTTCAGGCATCAACATGTACCAAAAAACCTTTTTTTCCAGGATCCTCGGATTCCAAGCCTGTATACCTCATAATGTATCTTTCATGAATTCCATTGCATGTTAAAAGGGCTAGTCAGTCATCCATTGCACAGAACATGTACTAACCTAAAAATCTGCCAAGATGCATGTTGAATCTCAACTGCCTACCAGGATTTTGACCAGGTCTAGCTTATGTAACAAAAATCGTATCTGTTTAGGAAACCTTCAGGAAAATACTGAACTCAAGTCTCAAAAAGAGTCTGATTTAGGTAAGTTTCTATTACACAAAGGCAATAATATTTATGCAAATTATTTAGATAATTAACATAAAATCAAAACAGACAAATACACTAATACATTTGCTTACAATACTTAAGTGAGAATTTATTCCTGCATAACTCTGCTGCCATGCCTATCATGTATAGCCCAGAAAAGACAAACTTTATATCACCACCAAAAGTCACAAATTATTGAACACCCCCCAAATGCTTTAACCCACAATGCTCAGCATTTGGAAATATATTATCTGCAGAACAGAAAATTTAGCTTTGACAATATACCTGTTATAATGCATTAATATATACTTAATATTCTGTTTTCCAGAACAGAGAAGCCAAAAGAAAGTAAGTTTGATGAGCATGACTAAATCATAGAGTAAAAGCAGGTATTTTTGCAAATCTTTGCAAAGTTCTCAGAAAAAAGTGCATGTTGTACATACCTAGCCCTTCCATCTTTGAACTGGTCATCCTAGTCAGGGGGTACCTAGAGCTCACCAGAGAGCGGCACATTGCCCCCCCCCCCCCCCCCCAGCCAAACAGCAGTCTGTCAGAGGGCACACGCTATCGGCGATTTAGGGATCCCACTTAGGCTCACTGCATGTCTTTGGCCCCCAGAAGGCATCCGGAGTAGCTGACACAGAAAGCACGTGTAAACTTTACAGACACAGAGCAGAGGTGAGCTTCAAATCCCCAAACTAAAACAAAATTTCACCACTGTGGGGTGTGTAATTATAGACAGGTTAATTATTAGATTAGATTAGATTAAACTTTATTAATCCCACAATGCGGAAATTCTTTGAGAATTATAAATTATAAACGTTTTCTGACTGGCTTCTGAAATGGGACATAAGCACACATATCATTAGAATACTCTGTAATATATTTCAGATCAGATTCAAGTTTATTGCCATCATGCAAAGTACAAGTACAATGCCAATGAAATGAAACTTCCCAGGCTGTAGGTCATGTTGTATTTCCTGCGTGTACTTCCTGTTACCTGCATCACTTCCTGGCTTTTTCCCCATGTACTTCAGTGTCACTTTTTGGAAAACGAAAGGGATGGCCAAGAGGTTCCCCACGAGCAGGCCACTGAAATCCACTACGCCTCTCTCGGTCATCAGAACTGGAGGGACAGGCCATTTGTGCAAGAGAAAGATCGTTATGTCATCTACTCTACTGTGGTGGGGAGAGCTGGTAATTAGTGACAGATGTGATGTTGCAAGTAAATGTACCAGCCTTGAATGTTCTCATACTGTCTACTTCACTATCTGACAACTAAATCTAAAGATGATTGTTTGATTTTAAATCTAAAGATGAAAATTTAAATGTGACTTAAATAAATTCTGTGCTTTGGGTTCTGTCTCTATTATCTACAGTGCAGAATCATCAGCCACACAGACATCATGTGGAATTATGTAGGCTTATGCTATTAAATAATGTGAGTGTCTTTTATGTAGCCCGTGCTTGCAAATAAAGAAAAAGCAGAAGGATGTAAGACCAAACTTTTCTCTGGGAAGCCACCTCTGAGAGCGCAGGGGGTGTCAAACTGCTGCCAGCGTGGGGGGCAAATATACACAGTTTTTTAGTTTTTTTTATTCTGTGTATGTGCTGCTTCCTCTTTATGCTAAATAAGAAGCATTTTCCCTTTCATGTTGTGAGAGAGAAATATGAACAGTAACTGCAAAAGCAGCTGCTGGGCAGTTTGAAAATGACCACACCTTGGCGTGTCACGTGGACATGAAACCACGTCATGGATGGATGGATAGATATACTTTACTTATCCAGAAGGAAATTAACGTGTCCAGTAGCTTATACACAGTATCACAACTTTATCACTGTAACCCCCTAGTAGATGCCATCATCAGTGGGATTAAGAAAAGGTTTGACTACATTTTCCAAGATGCCAGGTTGCTCACAGCCTCTGCAACTCATCCAATGTTCAGACTGACCTACATCCCCTGTGACAAGAAGGCTCAAGTTGTGTCAGACCTGAAAGCAGAAGTACACCTCCTTCAAACCCAGTCTTCAGGTCACACACAAACAGATGATGACAACCAAACTGATGAAGATGATGAGGTAACAGGATACTTCCCATCACTGAGATCAGCCACAGAGCTGAATGAAGTGGACTCCTACTTGCAGTCATCTGAAACCAAACTTGTAAATGCATTCCAAAACCTGCTACTGATGAAAAAGGTCTTTCTTAAATACAACACAGTAGGGCTGCACGATATATCATTTCAGCATCGTCATTGCGATGTACGCACTTGCAATAGTCACATCGCAGGATGTGCGATGTTAAGAAACGCAAATTAAATTAAGCGGCGTGGACAACGCTTTTGGTGTTTTTGCTGAACTAACGAATGTCACACTGTTCTTATTCTTAAACAATCCACAAAAGTCTGTCTAATATAATTTAGATCAATTTAAAGGTTTTTGGATACGGAGCCAACCCGCAGCTTTGCACAGGCAGCTAACAAACATGTCGATCACAGAACGAACCACCAAGCACAAACATTCTAACCATTTAACCCAGCATTATTTTGTCACTCATGTTAACTCTCATATACGATAAGCTTCCATAGTTTAATGCTCATGCTCTGTTTAGTACTGATTAAGTTCGGGAGGTTGATGACACTGAGCCAATAACATCTGCCACGAAAGTGACACTCCATCAGTCCTCGGAGGAGGACTTCCCACCCCTTCCCAGGAGAGATGTGGCCACCTCCCCATTTCAGTACACTCCTTGGGACAGTCCGCCACCTTCACCAAGACCCTCTCGTCGATTTCCGGGACAACGGGGAAATCCCAATGTTGCTTTGGAAACCTGTGAGTTGTGTGAGATTACTCTAGACCAGGGGTGTCAAACTCATTTTAGTTCAGGGGCCGCATATAACCTAATTTGATGCCAAGTGGGCCGGACCATCACAATCATAGCACAGCACATCATAGCTATAAATAACAAAAAATTAATGTTTTCCCCTTTGTTTTAGTGGAAAGAAGTATAATTACATTAGGATATTTTTTTAATTTAATGAACTATCCTTTTACAAAACATGCTATGAATAACTTCAGATTTCTCAAGAAAAACGTGCAATTTGCTTCAGTTTATGATTTTCATGTGTGCATTACAAGTGATCACAGTGTTTGTACAAAGGCACAAAACTTTAAGTCACAGGTATTTAGAACTGAAAAATATGGTAGCCTATTGCACTTTAAGATTAAATAAACTAATCAAGATATAGGAATAATTTTTACTCCAATTTCCACGTGTAATAATTCTCAAAACTTAAATTGACTCACCACATCTTACAAACCAAAATGGTGGCCATTTTAAATGTATAAGACAGAAAGTAATCACCCAGCCTGTAAATATAAGATTTATACATGAAACATACATAACAAATGCATACATAAAATGTATGACCAAACTCTTTTGTAGTGAAGCTGGTGACTAACAAATTGAACAATTTTTAGCTATTATTACAGCAAGGATTCATTTTCACAGAACTATATTTTTTGAGTGCAAAATGTTTCTGATGCAGCATTTTACAAGAATTAGTCTAGTTTAGACTACTTTAGCCAAGCTGACAGCACGCGACCAGTCTACTCCGACTCTGTCCAATGCACAAACGAGAGAGCTGCACCAACTCAAGGAACTCCTCTGTGACAGCCAATGTATCATCAACTCCGCGAATAAATATAGCCAGTTGAGCAACGTCTGTAATGTCAGTGCTCTCATCAATTGCAACAGAAAATGCAAGAAATGACTTGACTTTGTGTTTCAATTGGCTGTCTAAATCTGTGGATAGTTCCGAAATCCTCTCTGCAATAGTATTCCTCGTCAGGCTGATGTTGGCAAAAGCTTGTCGCTTCTCGGGACATATGAGTTCTGCAGCCTTCAGCATGCATGTTTTGATGAACTCCCCTTCTTAATACGGCTTTGATGCTAATACTATTTCGTTAGCAATTATATAGCTGGATTTTACTGCTGCATCACTGACCTCTCGGTTCCGAGTGAAAACAGACTGCTGTTTCTTCAGACCCACCAGCAACTCATTTATCTTCTCTCGTCTCAGTTGTCCTTGCAGGCTGTCGTATTTTTCACCATGCTGAGTCTCACAGTGGCGCCGAATATTATATTCCTTAAACACCGACACGTGTTGCATACACACCAAGCATACAGGTTTCCCATTCACCTCTGTGAATAAATAGGAAGCTGTCCATTTTTCTTGGAAAACTCTACACTCAGTATCCACTTTTCTCCTTTTTGACAAAGACATGTTGGCTAATAAGGATGTAAAGGCGAGCATTGTTTTGTCTTTTTCTTCATCTTAATTTCAGCTGCTACATGTCTAAAACAGTGCGCCCCTAGCAGACAATTTAGGAATAGCAGTTTATTTAAAAAAGTCTAGCTCATGTCTCATTGAAATTTTTCACTTTCAAATTTATCCTGCGGGCCGGATTGAATCCCTTGGGGGGCCGGTTCAGGCCTGCGGGCCGTACGTTTGACACCCCTGCTCTAGACCATCCATCTCCCACACAACCACCCCCCTATGGACCACATATTGGATAGACCAATCCAGGTTCAAATGGATAATGTGGGGACAGAACCTTATGAACCTCCCCAGGTGGAAGTCCATCAACAAAAGGAACATGAAGATCTTTTGATCTCTCTCTTGGAGGAGGCACATAGATCGACGTCACCGGTGGGGACACCTCTCTCACCCGGGATGCAGTTATTAACCCCAATAGTTAGGCCACAGTTGATTAGACGGCCACATTCAGATCCTCTCCCTAGGATGGATTCTGAGTGGTGGAAACCCAGAGATCAAAGATTGAGACCAACTAGACATCTAAGCACAAATAGGAAGCTACATGACTGGAATCTCACGGCCACCAAAAAATGGCTGATTATAGGCGATTCCAATCTCAGCAGGATTACGGAATATCACCTGCCAGATTTACAGATTGATAGCTTCCCTGGGGCAAACTTTGGGCATGCCAGTAACATTTTGGCCAAGACAATAATTCACTCCAAAGTAGAAAAAGTCATCCTGTCATTCGGCATTAATCACAGGAGCCAACTTATAGACAAAACAGCCACCAAACAGTTACAGAAAGCCATTAGTGAAGCTGGTGACACCTTTGTCCATGCCCAACTCTGGATCCCCCTTGTCAATTACTGCAGGACTCTCAACCCGATTGAGAAACAACGAATGGATAAACTTAATGAAACCATTAAAAAGACATGTAATTACATCCCATTACTCCCGGATTTCAAATTCCAGACTGCCGATGATGGAATCCATTGGACCCCCAAGACAGCTCAACTTATGTTGAAGCACTGGATCTCGTTCTTAAACTTGGAAGCCCCCTAAGCCTACCATTTCAGGAGGGGGCCTGTAAAGCTGTACTAAACTTGTCAAAATCCTATACCCTTACCCAGGAACAATTACAACTTCTTTCCAATGGCCTAACATTTGTACCAACCGTAGGCTTACACAACGACCAAAAAACTAATATGCTTAGTGATTTGCAAACTTTCCATCGAAGGATTAAGCTGGCTTCTTATTATGAGGGCAGAAAATCTAATGAACCTATCCCTTTTACCCCTAAATCGGACTGGACACCCAAATTAGGCCAACTACCTCCGACTATTAGGAAACTACTTAGGGCCAACCTCTACGCTTTTAAAACACTAAACTGGAACTTAAAGGACTCACTTAACCTGACAGATAGGGAAGTTCGGACATTAAGGGAACTAAGTCAAAATAATAATTTGGTCATTAAGTCAGCGGATAAGGCTAGTGCTGTAGTGATTCTTGATAGAAACCAATACCTGTGGGAAGCCAGAAGGCAATTAGCTAATAAAGAATATTACACTAAATTACTGAGCTTTCTCTCTTGCACCAAGAGGTATCCCCTCCTTCCACTGACGCCAAAAAAGTCCAATCACAGGATCAAGCTGCTGTAATGACGACAAATCAGCAGAACCCAAAACCTGGAAAAGCAGCTGTAACCCAGGTTACAAATATTATACATAGATAAATAGTTAATTATTTAATTAGTTAATTAGTTAAGATACAAAACAAGATTCGTGATATAGAATAATTTACACGTTAAACGTTTACATATAAAAACTATGATTTTGGTATAACCTTCCTGCGGCGTGCCCCTCCCCCCTCTTCGCACGTGCGCAGTGGTGTGGTGCATAGGAGAGAGAGAGATACTGTAGGCTAGCGGTAGCGGGCAAAAGAGGCAGCGGAGATGCAAAGCTGAAGTGATTTTTTTTTTTGCCTTTCAAAGTGAATTTCGGACCTTTTCTGATCAAAACGGTATTGCAAATTTTAGAAGTGGTAGTGACCTTAACCGGAGAAGTTTTG